ACATGGAAAAAAAATACGGGAAAAGACATGGAATAAACACATCCTTGTTGAAATTAATATGCGGGCAAAGACATGGGAAAAAGAGAACATGAAATCAATATTTTTCGATCTAATAGTGTAAAAACATTTATGGGAAAAAACTTACCTATAATTAGACCGATATGGCAGGATAACAGTAAACATGTTTACATAAAAATCCTCCTGAAATATATGGTTGTAATTTCAACATGAAATGAATTGGCAAAGGCCCAAAATTGCGTACATTGAAATGCAAGTCTTGAATTGACAAAAAAAAGCAAATGCAGGACTTAGAAGATGTTAGGGCTTCCATGTGCTCCCAACGACCATTTTAAGTTGTAAGTATACGAAAATGTTAATTATTCCAGATTGCATATGTTTAACAGGATCTATCTTCACACTCTTTCATCGCGTAAGACTTTGTAATTCAAGGTTATTCGGTAAGGTTGATATTTTTGAAGTGTTATTTGTGGTTAAGAATTGTAATTTCAAAGTATATGTGCTTGTATGAGTCGACATTCTTATTTAATGATTCCTTTGTTCTTTGTTTTAATTAATAGGAGTCTAGCAGGTTTTATTTGTCGACGTGAATCGTTATTTGTGGGATAGTGCTCTAGGTGTAAACTAGTTTCTTCTAAATTTTCTTCATGATATATATAATGATTGTCGTTCAAGTGTGTCTTGTTTTTGGTCACTAATTATCTCTCCATCTCCCAGCAGAGAACGAGGACAAATTAGAGGAAGCCTTTATCTTTTTGGACTCACTCTCCCTGCGAAACACACACACACACACACACAAATAGGATCCAAAGCTCTATATACCTTCCTCCAACCCTTGCTTACACGTTACTTTATTATTCCAAATTTCTTTTTGCCAGTACTATTATATGGTTCCAAATATTTGGCCCAAATGGTCGCCTGACTCGCCTGGAAGCAGGATCAAACCAACACAGTAATAGCCTCTGTGTGGGAGAGGAGAAATTCTTATGGCCTACTCATGAGAAGTGCATTTGTGTTCCACTTCTTGTTAGTGTGTGAAGGAAAGTTGAGTTTTCAAGTTCTAATATAGGGAATTGCATGTTATATATACTCTTTATAAGCACAAGGTTCATTTTTTCTCCTATGTGAAATTCTTACATATGTACTCTCAACGTGTGCTTCCTTATATCGGGTAGGAGAACATAAGAAATTTTCCTCCTCTAGTATTCCCTTGTAGGAAGGTCACTTACAATAGAAAATCGAATGACACCATTACCATCCCAAATTAAATTTACATACAACTAATTTATGCACTGGTTTACTACTCTTAGATAAAACTATTTTAAAGGACGACAACCAAAAAAAATTAAAAAAAAAAGGAAATTGTTATTAACACTTCAAAATTCTCATTCTACACTTATCACAAGTGTATTTTTCTTTCTAATTATAGAAAGTTTGGAGTGCAGATTTTTCCTTAAAAAATCTAGAACCTTGCTGCCAGGTTCCATGACGATTGGCAAAAATCCCCAGATATATACGGAAATTAACAATAAAAAACGAAAACTATATATGTATGTACAGTATGTTGAGAGAGTGGATCAAAATTTTGCAAATCTAATGGTACACCAGGATCAATGGATAGTAAAACTACAAACAAAAGTGTTCAAGTTCTTCCGAGGAAAATCAGCATATGTTTTTTTTTATTTGTTCTCAACAAATAAAAGGAGTGTATGTCACTTACTACTGCGGTTTAGTTATATTTTTTTTTCATTTATAAGTAGGAGGTTGTTAGGTTTGATTTTTATAAATAGTGAGTTCGATACCACTATACGTACCCCTAACAATTGAGACACATATACAGAAAACCATAACAAAGAATAGAACAAGTTTCTGTGAAAATAAAAAAACAAGGAACAAGAAAGAAAACCTTGCTATTGCATTTACTATAAAAAAAAAAAAAAAAAGGTTTGTAGCCAGTCTAAACCATAAAAATCAACATCTATCATAATTGATCCATATATTAACTCATGGAATTAAGAAAAAACATATAATTAATAAAGGTAATATATAATGAACAATAATATATATACAGGGAGAGAGTCTGCAATCTAGAAATACTCTAAGGTTTAATTATATACTGGTACATCTCTTCTTAACTCTAGAACTAGGAGATTCAAAGCAAGAGCGAAAGAATGAGTCTACCTCTTCACGCCCAGTGGTTTCAAAGAATTCCAGTCGTGCCAATTTCCTCTTACGTAAGAAAACATTTCCGTGTGCTTGTTTTCTTGGTGTGGCTGGGCAGCTTTGAATGGTAGGTATCTTGTGATCATACGAGGCTGGCGTTCGACAGAAGTCTTCCTGTCGAGCATTTGGTAACTCATGAGCGATTGGTTCAGTACTATCTTCTTTTTCGAAACCTTTAGGAGGTTGATCGGGAAATTTTGATCGAAGTTGGTGATGATGATCACCAGATATTTTATGATCTTCAGCCATGGACATATAACTAGCTGCTCTGGCGAAATAGGCACTCTGAATATAGAAAGAGATGAAGAGAATATGACATTTTTTGGGGTTAAGTTGTAGAAAGAGGTGGAGAGAATTTGACAATTCGATCTGTTTGTATCTTATATTGTAAAAACCTAGGTGTCTACTGCCAACAGCACCTTCATGGGTTGTATTCTTCTCTACATAACCCTGAAAGTACTCTGCGAGAACCTCGGTTTGGAATATGCTATATAATTTTCAGAGATACGGGCCCAGGACCCCAACTTCCAACAACATTGATATTTGATAGTCTCCAATTTGGTAATTACTATCTGCCCAATCTGTCAGGTTTGTGGTTTTATGTCTTAGTTGGAGTGAGGTTATGATATTCAAACTCTTATTTTTTCAGAGATACGGCCGACGTAAGATATTTCAACACGCTTCCTCATGTTAGATCCAATTAGTGGGTCACACGTGAGAGATTTACACATTGACAACCACGTATAGCCAAGGGGGGACTCACCCCACACGCTGGGCCAAGGGACTCACCATCATCGCATGGGGCTATGGGGATCCACCAATCACGTGGCAATACCGACTCGCTCTCTGGCTCTAATACCAAATAGTACATGACCTTATACAAGGAAAATCATAAGGTCATGTAGAGTGGAGTAAAAAAATACTCAAACGCTTTGGCTTAAATATAACTAATGATAAAGACTTTCACAATACAGGTACACCATTTTCTAATGTTGTACAAATAATACAATAATATAAGTAAGTTTTACGGCACATAACATTGTCCTATTAACATGAGACACCATATTAATATACTTGTCTCATATAAATTGCTTAATAAAATTTAACACCATATTAAAATACTCATCCTATATAAATTGCTTTATAGAATTTATCTCCTTTCTCGCTGCCTCTTCTTATGTAACTCCTATTTAATAGAGTTCAGAATTACCCAAATTTATTCTTGTTGAGCTGCATTCTGATGATGTGATAGATTACATGAAGTAATCCTTTTCCCACACAGTTGTGACCTCAGAACTTGCTCTATATCCGATCATTTCTTTATCACTGTTTCTCTCCTCCTTGTCTGTATGCACAACAACGTGCTTAACCGCATTGGATACCATCTTGGACGTTGGACACGGAATAGCATATGTCATTGGAATTGAATCAACAATTATCCATTTGATAACCATTTTTAGTTTTCAACTTTTGTTTTTACTTTTTTGAAAATCGAAAATTGAAATTTTGTTCGGTAACTTCTTTCATTATTCAACTTTAAAAAAAAAAAAAAAAAAATTGAACAAGTGGCCCTCTCCATCACCACGTCTTGAGTTCGAACCCTGTCGGCTCTCTAACTTAACATCTAATATAATAAATTTATCGTTTAACAAAAAAAAAAAAAAAAAAAAATTGAATACTTAATCCGGCAGTCAAATGGGGTATTTGGTAGTTTCTCAAACTTTAAATTCATTAGTTTCCAAAAAAAAAAAAAAAAAAAAACTTTAAGTTCATTCTGAATACTTAATCCCTCTGAAGTGAGAGTATGTCATGTCCTAGAGAAAAATTAGAGGACAAAGCAGTGACGGATTCAAAAATCTAATATCATGGAATTGCAGTGTAAATTGTTTATATTATTTAAAGATCCAAATAGCATGCGATTGCGTAATTTATTCTTTAATATCTTGAATGAGGCATTTCGTCGAGTTGTTAGAATTCGTTATTTTCCGCCCTTTGTTGTGTGCCTGTAGATAGATACTGACAACGTTAGATTGTTGATATCTGTTTACACTCGATAAGTGTCAAGGCATGTTATCGATATCTTTCATCAGATGTTATGACATTGTCGATATCTATCAAAATCTACAAAGGCATGTCGTTGATATTTGTCAATAGCTGCCAAGGCGTGCTGTTGAATCATGTCGAGCACCTGCTGAGTATTTCGAGCAAACATTTCATTGAACATTTGGTGGGCATTTCTGGGTCCAAAATCAGACAGACCTATGGTTCTTAGAGGACCTTTCCAGCTCCGTACGGTCCCGGACCCAGTGGGTCTCCTAATGGATCCACACTTGGGTCAAATAAGCATTTTAATGTTTTAATCTTAATTTTTAATATCAAATCCAAAGATACATGACCATAAATTCCTAGTCACCCGATTAACAAGGGAACAAGACTAATAGATATTTAAAATACTTCAAGTGGCGGTTACATTTCCGAAGAATGTAAAAAAGAAGTGAAGGTTATATAACTTAAGAATTATAACAAAACTTATGGGAATGTAAACATATGCATTTTAGAATATAACTGTGTATAATGAAATCTACTGAATGTCGTAGCCATTGGAAATGGATGTAAGAACTTTATCAAAGTTGATGACATTTTTTCTCTTTAGAAAATTAGAGTACCAATGAGCAGAGAGTTTAGGTTGTCTTTTCAAATCAGGGTCTTCCAAATCCACATAGTAAATGCCATAGCTCGATTCATAGCCGTCCAGCTCAAGAGAATCCAAGAAGGACCATGTGAAATAACCTCTTGAGTTTGATCCATTCCTTCCAAAGTAACACAGGATAATTAGTATTTTAGACTTAGTATTTTCCTATGGTGAAAAATATAGCTAGTTTGACTATCCCTATATTTACATAAACACTTGCATTAAACATTTTCATTTGGACTCGTCCAGTTAGCTTTGCAACATGGAGAGGTCACAATATAAATCATATATACCTTATAGCTTCAAGCAAAGATTGGATGTGCCCTTGCAAATATTTCACCCGCCCCCAGTCCTCCAAAGATGAATTGCGTCGAGTCCGTTGACCTAATGTTTAATACAGATAAAGAAGGAAAATGATAAGCAGCTAATGCAAACTAGTGCATGGAAAGAGCCAAAAGTTAAGCTCTAGTACCAGGAAATATAATGTACAGTTTGAAACAAAATACGCGCAACGCATGCATGGTCCGTAGATATGGGGAAATCTTAAATAAAACTTATTTGACAGTCTATCAATCGAAGCTCCATCTATATATCTACATTTCCCTACCATGTTATGTAACACGACACATTCAAATAGCACTCCTTGGGTTAAAATTTAAACCCTGTACTATCCATTTACAGAAAAAAAAATCACCACATGGTTGATGCAGAGAGATACTTTCCACGCAACAAAAAAACCGAGAGAGAGAGAGAGAGAGAGAGAGAGAGAGAGAGAGAGAGAGAGAGAGAGAGAGAGAGAGAGAGAGAGAGAGAGAGAGAGAGAGAGAGAGAGAGAGAGAGAGAGAGAGAGATACCATTTTCCTGGATATATATAGGAGGATTGCCATAGTTTTCCTTGATATATTCTAACAGTTCTTACAGGCCCCAGGGAGTTATTGGAAACTGATTCAAACAACACGATCACTAGTGCTCTGAAATTAATCCATAATTAGTATTGAGCCGGTTCTACTTTATATTATGTTCAAGATTTTACCTCAAATGTTGTTGTACCATTTTCCAGTGCTGCAAATGCAATCAAACAAACTTTTGTAAGCTCAAAGGATTGCAGCTAAGCATCTAAACAAGAATAAACTCTCATAAGTTCACGAACTAGGTGTTAGACATGAGTCCATAGTACAATGCATCAGTAATTATCTTTAAATATTCTCTTTGTAATTTACCACGTATAGGGCTCTTATTGATAATGTATTATAAAACTTGTATACATTGATGAATGAAAGCAAGCAATTCCAACATTTCCTCTACCTGTCAATTATCTTTTCACACATTTTATCGACTTATTAATGACATGTTATGGACACATCGGTCATTAAACTAAGGAGCAGACATCATACATAAAGAATTTCACTACATACGTATATGTATAAGAAAAAACATACGGGATATCTTTGTTGCTGAGTCTGCCATAAAGTCTCTGGTTTCCATCTTTAGAGTGCTGGAGCAGTCCTTGATGTTTAATGTGAGATAATAATTCAATCCAATGAAGTCAAATGAACCCCTGACACTTCGGGACTCAAGACTAGTAAAAACAGGAATTCTAGAGCCTACTATCTTTTTCATTACATCAGGGTAATCTCCAAACACCAAGGGATTCAAAACCCTACAAAAGCAGACATATTGGAATTACAGGTAGCTAAAACGGCATTATGTTTTGGACAAGTGAGAAATATATATAGATGAAAAGATGAGTGCTCAACATCTGACTTACCAACCAAAATAGAAGTCCATGGCTCTTTGGGTAGCAAGTTCATCTTCAATAGTTTTTGTTAGAGGAACAAACCAATAGGAACAAACATTGATTCCTATATATCCATGCTGCTTGTCCTGCATATCTCAAAAATTTCTCTGATCAACCTGTATATTTTTTTTCATGAAAAGTCTAAGTTTATATAGGAACCTCATGTTACATTAATACTGGTATTGATATACAACTTGCTATAAATAGAAGGGGGTGTTGGTATTTTGTTTCATGAGTTTGAGAAATCATATTTTAAGGGAATTTGTGAGATGTGCATCTAATTTATGAGTGTTTTTATTGTGTATTACTAATTATCACAAAGATAAAAGTTCTCGAAACCCTTGACAGCGAAGAGTTTGAGAATTACCTGGTACATTTTCTTGTACAATCTAGCAGCTGATGCATGAGCTAACAAGGTATAATGAGCTGCCATGTATGGCTCTGTTGAGGAATTACCCCTAGAACAATTGACACCAAATGGAGCTGAACATCGCTGTGGTGGAAAAAATCCAACATCGTAACCCCCAAGTATAAAAACATTAGGCTCATTCATAGTAGTCCAATGCAAAACTCTATCCCTAAAATTTTTGAAGCACGCATCTGCATATCCAGTGAAGTCTTTTCTGCATCCACAAAAGTGTTCCATCACGATCATCATGGATCCCCCATTTCTGCATGTCCCAGTTAATACTCACGAATAAAAGTTAGGAACTTACACAATTTTTCGACTTACCCATCCTCCATACTCATCATCAAGTGCCTGCGAGAGATCACTGTGGTGTAAAGTAACATGTGGTTCGATTCCTGGTTTAAACAAACAAATTTATTTATTATCAACATTAGGATTTGTTGATCTCTATAGCTACTCACTTATTGATAGTATAAGCAAGGAAACTGTGGTTCATAATTTAGATAGATTGTTACCATGGCTGATCAATTCATTAATAAGATTGTTGTAATATTGTACACCCTTTGGATTGACAGGTCCTCTCCCATCTGAGAGAAACAAACCAAATATTGATTAAGTGCGTCAAAAGCTAAGAACAATAAATCATTACTTCTTTTGTTTAATCTGAGTTTCAATTCGTTGATCATGCATACTTGGGATAAGTCTGGACCATGAGATGGAAAATCTATATGCCTCCAAACCAATATCCACCATTAGTTGGACATCTTCCTGAAATGGTTTGAATGAACTTGATCATGCATAAACCATACTCCAACTATAATCCATGATATAATGATGCGTAGTATAAAACAACAGCAGCATATTTCTAATTAGTATGATATTGATTTCTACAATACAAAAGAACTACTAGTCCCAAATCGTCTAAACAAAAATTGAACTGGATCTTGTAGAGTATAGACCTTGTATTTGTGATACTGATCACACGCTACATCTCCAGTAGCTCCATCATATTTACCTGAAATTTTGGGAGTAAAGCAGTGAATTAATAAAGATCTTGATACATGTAAGTGATTGTGCAAGTTCAAACAATGAACAATGTCTAATTCAATTACGGTTTAGTTGGTTTTAAGTGATAATGATCAATTGTTTAACCCTCAACGAGTTAACATAAACATGCATTCTTTTTGTGGCGTATAACCATTCAGCTGAGACTTGGAGGCTAAGAAAGAATTCAAACCTTTAGTTTAATATTTGTTTCAGGTTTAAACTAGAGTCGTTGGATCATAGTCCATGTGGCTATCCTTGCTTGTATTTAGCTTAAGTGATAGAATATAACAAGTGGCATCATCTCATAGGGTGATAGCAATTAAGGGTTGAGATTTAGTTTGTTTTTCTATGAGTGAAGGATCTCCCTTCCTTTTCCATGTATAACGGTAACAACCTCACATGCTTGTTGTGAGGAATATTGCAATTAGTTCCATCATCCTTATTTGAAATTCTCTCTGCCATTTTCTGATTTTCTCAGACCTTCATCAAGCCTTCATAGAAGCTTATCAAATATTTCCATACTCAAGCATGGCCTCAGAGCCAGGTTGCATAGTCTAAACTGGGCATGAAATCTGTGAAAATTACTTGTATGCGATTGAGTTGCATTTTGAGCTCAAATCAAATCTGGAATCTTTGCAATCTCTTGAATCCAAAGTCTAATGTGGCTGGATCAAGTACTGCTGAGCTTATTGCTCTAGTTTTCAATAAAGAAAACTACGAGTTTTGGAGGATTCGTATGACGACTATATTGAAATCGTATGGTCTATGGAAGTTGGTGGAAAATGGGTTTAAACCTCCAGATTTGAAGGATACTAAGGCTGTGCTCGATGAAAGGAAGAAGGAAACAATGGAGTTGGTGTCATTCGGTGAGACCTTGATGAAAGATACTCATGCGCTTGGAATGATCCAAAGAGCAATCTTGGATCAAATCTTCCCCAAAATTGTGAATGAAGAAACATCCAAAAGAGCTTGGGATGTCTTGAAGAGTGAATTCAGAGGAGACAAACAAGTAAGAAGTGAAAAATTGCAAGGGTTACGTAGAGATTTTGAGTATACTCATATGAAGGAAAATGAATCTCTATCTGTGCATCTGGCTAGATTATTTGACATTACTAATCAAATGAGAAGCTATGGAGATGAATTATCTAGGGAGACAATTGTGCATAAATTGTTAATTAGTCTTCCTAGGACATATGATGCAATTTAATATGTGATTGAGCATTCTAAGAATCTCGAAACCCTTGAGGTTCAAGAAGTCGTTGCTTCACTCAAGGGATTTGAGCAAAGACTTGATGTACATGCTGAAACCTTTACTAAGAGAGCATTTGCTAGCCTAAATGTTGCAACTAAGAGGGAGAAATTAGGATCATGGGCCTAACTTTGCTCTTAGACAAAACCATGCTAAGAGAAATTGGGATTATACGCCTAATTTTGCTCCTAGACAAAACAATGCTCAGGGAGTCCCTGATTGCAAATTGTGTGATAGGTTTCACTATGGGGAATGGTGGTATAAAGGTAAACCAAAGTGCACATGTTGGGGTAAACCAGGTCATGTTGTGGAGGATTGTCATGAAAACAAAGCATTACAAAAGGCTAATTATGCAAGGCAAATGGGTGAAACAGGATCACTGTTTTATGCCTGCAATGTTGTGGCATATGTGACAGTGAATAATTTCTGGTATATTGATAGTGGTTGTAGCAACCACATGACAGGTGATGAGAGATTGCTTGTGAATATATAGAGAAATTTGTCTTCAAATGTGAAAATGGGCACATGAGAAATTGTCAAAGTTGAAGGAAAAGGAACCTTGGTAATTGAAACGAAGTTAAGAAGAAAACATATTCAATAAGTTATGTTGGTACCTAGACTTGAAGAAAATCTTCTTAATGTAGGTCAAATGATGGAACATGGTTATTACTTGGTGTTTGGAGGAGATGTTGTGAATGTATTTGATGGATGGTCACTAGACAATCTAGTGGTTAGAGTGCAAATGACCAGTAATAGATGTTTTGCATTGACAATGATGCCTGCAAATTAGTTTGTGCTAAGAGCAAGCGTCACACATTGCTCTCAGGTATGGCATAAGAGATTGGGATACTTGAATGAGAGAAGTCTCAGATTACTTGAAGAACAAGAGATGTTGCATGGATTGCCCTCAACTAGTGTATGTGAAGGTTGCATGATGGGAAAACAACATAGGGAATTGATCCACACAGATATCTATGGACCAATGCAGGTTGATTCTCATTCTGGAAATAAATATTTTCTGTTGTTCACATATAACTGCACTAGAATGACATGGGTATACTTTCTAAGATATAAGTCAGGTGCACTTGAGTGTTTTAAAAAGTTCAAGGCAATGACAGAATTACAATGTGGTTATAAGGTGAAATGTCTCAGAAGTGATAGAGGAGGAGAATTCTTTTATGCAGAATTTGATAAGTATTGCAGTGCTCTAGGAATCCATGTACAGTTGACTATGGCCTACACTCCTTAGCAAAATGGAGTGTTAGAGAGGAAGAATAGAATTATGGTGGAAATGGCAAAGTCAATGATGCATGAGAAGAACCTTTCATATGTGATTTAGGCAGAAGTAGTGAACACTGCTGTTTACTTGCTTAACATATGTCCTTCCAAAGCTTTGGGAAAAATAACTTTATTTAAGGCATATAGTAGCAGAAAACCAGCGATAGCTCACTTGAAGATCTTTGGCTCTTAGCTATGTGCACATCTCTTCTAATCTTTGACAAAAGTTGGAAGAAAGCAGTCATAAATGTATCTTTGTAGGCTATGGTGCTAGTGAAAATGGGTACAGATTATTTGATCTGATTTCAAAGAAGATCATTATATCAAGAGATGTAACATTTGATGAGAATGTTTCTTGGGATTGGAACTGCGCTACCAACAATGAAGCAAGATTTTCAGTTCTCATTGATCATCAAAATGCTACAGAGATCTGTGACATTGGCAAGTGTGCTCAATCTGATCAATCCACTACTTCTCAAAGTGAAAGTATGACTGAAAGACCTCAAGCATATGATGATACGCCTCAGAAGTGAAAAAGTGTAAATGAAATCATGGCTCAGTGCAATATGTGCATTGTTAAACCTGAAAGTTATGATGATGCAACCAAGGATGACTCATGGAAGACTGCAATGAAAGCTAAATTAGAAATGATAGATAAGAACAATAAATGGCAGCTAATTGAGAGACCATTTGATAAGACAATCATTGGTGTCAAATGGGTTTATAAAACCAAACTCAATTTCGATGGTACAGTGCAGAAGAATAAGGCTAGATTAGTGGCTAAAGGCTACTCACAAAAGCCTGGAATTGACTACAATGAGACTTTTTCTCCTGTGGAAAAATTGGATACCATAAGAACCTTGATTGCACTTGCTGCACAGAAGGAATGAAGTTTGTACCAACTGGATGTGAAATCAGCCTTTCTCAATGGAGTTCTGAAGGAGGAAGTGTATGTTGAGGAAGTACAGGGTTTTGTGAAAGAAAATGAAGAGACTAAGGTGTATAAACTGAACAAGGCATTGTATGGTTTGAAGTAGGCACCAAGGGCTTGGTATGTTGAGTTAGATGCCTACTTCAACAATGCAGGCTTCAAGAAAAGTTCAAGTGAGGCAACCTTGTATGTTAAAACAAGCGAGGACTTAGATTTAAGTTTGTTACATTGTTTCCTTAGAATGGGTGTACTACAAACTGAGAAAAACATTTTCATACATCAAAAGAAGTATGCAGAGAAGTTGATTGAGAAATTTGGGTTAAAAGACTATAAAACTGTTGCTACTCCAGTTGTTGTGATTGAGAAACTAAGCAAGGTTGATGGTAGTGAAGTTGGAAACGTGGGTGAATACAAAACACTAGTGAGGAGCCAACTGACAACAATCAGACCAGATATAATGTTTGTAGCGAGCTTACTGGCAAGATTCATGCATAATCCCACTAAGAAGCACATGGGAACAACAAAGAGGGTGTTGAGATACATTCAAGGAACAATTGATTTTGGAATTGCCTTTGAAAAGGGAAAAACAACTATTATAATTGGTTACTGTGATAGTGACTCGACTGGAAGTGAGGATGATATGAGAAGCACTTCAGGTTATGCATTTACACTGGAATCTGGTCTGTTTTTATGGGCATCAATCAAGCAAAGCACTGTGGCATTGTCCACAGCAGAAGCAAAATATGTAAGTGTTGTAGAAGCCCCTTTTCAAGCAAAATGGCTAAGATTTGTACTTGAAGATTTTGGAGAATAATAAGTGGAAGGGACACAAATTATGTGTGAGAACACATCAGCCATTGCTATAGCTAAAAATTATGTCTTTCACCATAAGACAAGATATGTCAGCAGAAAGTTTCATTTCATCCGAGAAACAATTCAAGCCAAGGAGATTGAACTGTGTATTGCAAGATAGATGAGCAAACTGCATACATTCTTACTATAGCTTTGCCTAAAGATCGATTTGCCTATTTAAAAGAGCTTTGGGGAGTCAAGTCAACTAAAGGATTAGAAGGGAGTGTTGGCGTATAACCCTTCAGCTGAGACTTGGAGGCAAAAAAGGAATTCAAACCTTTAGTTTAATATTTGTTTCATGTTTAAACTAGAGTCGTTGGATCATGGTTCATGTGGCTGTCCTTGCTTGTATCTAGCTTAAGTGATGGAATCATCTCAGAAGGTGATAGCAATTAAGGGCTGAGATTTAGTTTGTTTTTTTTATGAGTGAAGGATCTCCCTTCCTATTCCATGTATAACGGTAACAACCTCATATGTCTGTTGTGAGGAATATTGCAATCAATTCCATCATCCTTCTCTAAAATTCTCTCTACCATTTTCTAATTTTCTCAAACCTTCATCAAGCTTTCATAGAAGCTTATCAAATATTTCCATACTCTTTAACACTTTTTACTTATGTTCACAATGATAAGAAATGTCACCTGGTTTCCAAATTACTAAGAAAATCACATCTGATCAGTAAATCAAGCTTGTCAATAGTTTTCAATAGTCAAATTCCAATTGCAATTAACATTTTACTTGCAAGTGTTGGGTTTTTGTTCCCCCTAATTTCGTTGATTATTCTGCCCCTATTTTCAACAATAATTTTACTTATATTAGCATTAAATGCTTCGCCTCATATGACAAATTTATTGACTCATTCAGAAGAAATTTACACATTAGTTACTCAAAAAAAAAAAAATTACACATTAGTGATTTTGGTATTTTAAAAGTTGGTAGAAGTCCTTGGTGATTTTCTTATTTTCAAATGTATTTCTCTATTAGTGATTTTCTTATTTTCAAATTAAAGTAAACATTTTTTTTTTTTTTTGCCAAATGATTTGGAAGTGAGTTTGGTAAAACCTTAATCACTCTCAAATAGATTGTAACCTCTAGTTATATAACAATTTTCAACTAACCTAAACTAATCATATGAAAAGATGTCTGTACTCTAACTGCGGACTGTCCAGTAGTACAATTTTTAAAGGGACTCTTAATGAAACATTTCTGATACTGTTCACTTTTAACATTAAAGATATTTTTAGCCTAGAAAGTCACTCCTGGTACATTCACTTACACCTTTATTTTGTCATTTTGATTAAAACTCAAAGTTTTCAAACCCTTTTCATTAGTTTTCCTTTGTTTAAATCTAAAATTGTTCACCTAGTCAATACAACATCCTAAAGTTGCAATACTCTAACCTAATCAATTCTATTTGGATGCACTACATTCACACTTGCTAACTAACTCTCTAATAGGTGGATCGTATAGTTTACTGTGAGATCCACCTGCGCTAATTTTATGTATTTAAATATCATTATTCTAATTTAGTTAACCACACATAGCCTCAATAAGCAAAGGAAGAGGACTCTCTCCTCCTCTTCCCTTCCCTCTTACTTGAATAGTTACGATTAAACCATGTTAACATCTTATATTGATTTCTTTATAAAGACAATAAGACAAAAAAACAAAGTGTGAGAGGAGGGGAGGGAAGATGATGAGAATAGAAGGGAAGAGAATTTTACTCCATAAGGAAAACCAGGTCTTCACCTTTCACAAGTTATAAATTAGAAATGAAAACAGTAAATAAGTAAAAATAGTAAATAATGAAAACAGTAAATAATTAACCACTCTAGACTTATGAACCGTTAGTTCTTGATTTTGTATTTTTGGACAAAGATTTAATAGTTAAAAAATTTGAAGTATCCCACCATACTCCGGAACAAGATACAAAATCCATAATATTATATGGAAAGTGTGATATAAAAATAGTGGAAGCTAACCAGCATGAGTATATGTGTCCAAGATGCTTGCGGTCCTTCCGTCTTGGTCTGCAGCACCTTCCACCTATTCATGTAGAATTAGTTTTGAACCAACCCCATTCCATCACTTTTTTTTTTTTTTTTTTTTTTTCCAATTGATGCGTAGCACTACTAGTAATACATACAAAAGCATATATGGAGGCTTATATTATTGGCCAATATATCTAACTAATTATATCTTATTAACCCATACATACATACAATGTATGTATGGACATATATGAATACATGTATACATAAGAAGAAGAACCTGATAAGCAGAGGAGGAAGCACCAAACACGTAGCCTGGAGGGAAGTCATCTCTGCTATATTTATCAGCGCATAAAGAAAGCTTTATGAGAAGAAAACACAGAAAAAATGAAACTCTCAGCATGAGTAATAACACAAGCCCGCAGCAAGAACTCGGAAGGGAAGGAGTTTCAAAAGGCAAAAGTTACAAAGAGATTTGAGTGGACACCCTTTAATTTGTTATCCGCACTTTAGAGCAAATTGTAGACTCCAGATCCTTGTTTATTATCTTTTCTATTGTATGGTTGTTGAGTTGAGTCAGGTCTGTATGAGTGGTTCGAAATAGCCAACAAGAAGAAACACAGACAGATGGGGATAATACTTGGCTCCTGACCGGTCAGGACGCAGCATACTGAATTTTTGAGGTGGACCAATAATATTGAAACAGCTGGCACTTTAAGCAATTTTTGATTATTAACCAAACACCCGCTATTTCCCTAACCAAACACTCCAAGCACTCAGCTTCTCGCTTAACAAGAAGACAAGCAGACACCCCATCCATAAGTGTCAACCGACCACCTTGGCCTCGTCGGATCACCCATCGTCCGCGAGCTCGAAGCCCAAGGCTGCACAAAACTCGTCCTCCGTACTCAGGTCGAGCGCGACCTCACTTGCCAAAACCGCTTTACCACCACGCCGCTGCAAAATTCGGGTATATGGGTTCGTGTTTAAAGTCGTCGCCGTAGATTTCATCGCTGTAATCTCGCTGCAATCTCACTGAGATCTCAATGCGATGTGGAGTCGACGCTTGGAGGAGGGACAAAAACTGATATCAACGAAGGGAAGCTTGTAGAAGAAGCCAATCTAGATAGCATGGGAGATGGAGGGAGCTAAGGTGTTCTTGTTCGCACGGATTCAGAGGGAGGTGGAGGAAGAAGGTTTCTGTTTGGTCACGGGTTTGAATAAAAAATTGGATGTTTGGTTACAATGATATCAAAGTTTTGAAAGAAAACTGAATGTGTTTTAAATTGAGATATTTGTTGATTTGCTATTTTGAATTTGTATAGCTTTCAATTTCTTTCTTCAACTTTAATTTTAATCATTACTCTTTTGAATTTTTTTAATTAGCTAATTTTCTTCTTGAACTTGAGTTTTTAACGAAATTACCAAAATAATGGATAATGGACAATCTAAAGATTCATTTCTATTGATTTTCAATTTCAAGAACAAAAATTATGTATTATGCAAATGCCAAGTACCATTTGGCTAAAAAACCATTTCGGAATTACGCAAATTTATTCTTGTTGAGCTGCATTCTGATGATGTGATGGATTACATGATATTTTTCCCACAGTTGTGACCCCAAAACTTGCTCTATATCCGATCATTTCTTTATCACTGTCTCTCTCCTCCTTGTCTGTATGCACAACAACGTGCTTAACCGCATTGGATACCATCTTGGACGTTGGACAAGGAATAACATATGCCACTGGAATTGAATCAACAATTTACCATTTGATAACCATTTTTAGTTTTCAGCTTTTGTTTTTACTTCTCTAAAAATCAAATATTAAAATTTTCTTCGGTAACTACTTTCATTATTTAACCTAAAATTTTTTTTTTGAGCAAGTGGCCCTCTTCATCACCACAGTTTGAGTTCGAACTTTGTCAGCTCTCTAACTTAACATATAATCTAATAAATTTATCGTTTAACTAAAAAAAAAAAAAATTGACTACTTAATCCGACAGTCAAACGGGTTATTTGGTAGTTTCTCAAACTTTAAATTCATTAGTTCCAAAAGAAAAAAAAACTTAAATTCATTCTGAATATTCAATCTCTCTGAAGTGAGAGTATGTCATGTCTTAAAGAAAAATTAGTGGATAAAGTAGTGGCGGATTCAAAATTCTAATATCATGAAATTGCAATGTAAATTGTTTACATTATTTAAAGACCGAAATAGCATGCGCATCGCGTAATTTATTCTTTGGTATCTTGAATGAGGCATTTCGTCGAGTTGTTAGAATTCGTCATTTTTTGCCCTATGTTACGTGCATATTGATAGATACTGACAACTTTAGATTGTTGATATCTGTTTATACTCGATAAGTGTCAAGGCATGGTATCGGTATCTTTCATCAGATGTTATGACATTGTTGATATCTGTCAAAATCTACATAGGCATTGTTTTAAAATGCCTAATGGAAACTTGGATCAAATAAGCATTTTAATGTTTTAATCTTAACCCTTGATATCAAATCCAAGGATACATGATCATAAATTCCTAGTCACCCGATTAACAAGAGAACAAGACTAATAGATATTTAAAATACTTCAAGTGGCGTTTACATTTCCAAAGAAAGTAAAAAAGAAGTGAAGGTTACATAACTTAAGAATTATATCAAAACTTATGGGAATGTAAACATATGCATTTTAGAATATAACTGTGTATAATGAAATCTACTGAATGTCGTAACCATTGGAAATGGATGTAAGAACTTCATCAAAGTTGATGACATTTTTTCTCTTTAGAAAATTAGAGTACCAATGAGCAGAGAGTTTAGGTTGTCTTTTCAAATCAGGGTCTTCCAAATCCACATAGTAAAGGCCGTAGCTCGATTCATAGCCGTCTAACAGCTCAAGAGAATCCAAGAAGGACCATGTGAAATAACCTCTTGAGTTTGATCCATTCCTTCCAAAGTAACACAGGATAATTAGTATTTTGGACGTAGTATTTTCCTATGGTGAAAAATATAGCTAGTTTGACTATCCCTATATTTACATAAACACTTGCATTAAACATTTTCATTTGGACTCGTCCAGTTAGCTTTGCAACATGGAGAGGTCACAAGATAAACCATATATACCTTATAGCTTCAAGCAAAGATTGGATGTGCCCTTGCAAATATTTTACCCGCCCCCAGTCCTCCAAAGATGAATTGCGTCGAGTCCGTTGACCTAATGTTTAATACAGATAAAGAAGGAAAATGATAAGCAGCTAATGCAAACTAGTGCATGGAAAGAGCCAAAAGTTAAGCTCTAGTACCAGGAAACATAATGTAAAGTTTGAAGCAAAATACGCGCAACACATGCATGGTCCGTAGATATGGGGAAATCTTAAATAAAACTTATTTGACAGTCTCTTAATTGAAGCTCCCTCTATATATCGACATTTCCCTATCATGTTATATAACACTACACATTCAAATAGCACTGCTTGGGTTAATTTTTAAACCCTGTACTATCCATTTACAGAAAAAAAAAAATTCACCACATCGACATGGATGATGCACAGAGATACTATCCACGCAACAAAAAACACGAGAGAGAGAGATAGAGATACCATTTTCGTGGATATATATAGGAGGATTGCCATAATTTTCCTTGATATATTCCAACAGTTCTTGCAGGCCCCAGGGAGTCATTGGAGACTGATTCAAACAACACGATCACTAGTGCTCTGAAATTAATCCATAAGTAGTATTGCGCCGGTTCTACTTTATATTATGTTCAAGATTTTACCTCAAATGTTGTTGTACCATTTTCCAGTGCTGCGAATGCAATTAAACAAACTTTTGTAAGCTCAAAGGATTGCAGCTAAGCATCTAAACAAGAATAAACTCTCATAAGTTCACAAGCTAGGTGTTAGACATGAGTCCATTGTACAATGTATCAGTAATTATCTTACAATATTCTCTTTGTAATTTACCATGTATAGGACTCTTGTTGATAACGTATTATAAAACTTGTATACGTTGATGAATGAAAGCAAGCAATTCCAACATTTCCTCTACCTGTCAATTATCTTTTCACACATTTTATCGACTTATTAATGACATGTTATGGACACATCGGTCATTAAACTAAGGAGCAGACATCATGCAGAAAGAATTTCACTACATACATATATGTACAAGAAAAAACTTACGAGATATCTTTACCGCTGAGTCTGCCATAAAGTCTCTGGCTTCAATCTTTAGAGTGCTGGAGTAGTCCTTGATGTTTAATGTTTTATAATAATTCAATCCAATGAAGTCAAATGAACCCCTGACACTTTGGGACTCAAGACTAGTAAAAACAGGAATTCTAGAGCCTACTATCTTTTTCATTACATCAGGGTAATCTCCAAACACCAAGGGATTCAAAACCCTACAAAAGGAAACAGACACATTGGAATTACAGGTAGCTAAAACGGCATTATGTTTTGGACAAGTGAAAAATATATATAGATGAAAAGATGAGTGCTCAACATCTGACTTACCAACCAAAATAGAAGTCCATGGCTCTTTGGGTAGCAAGTTCATCTTCAATAGTTTTTGTTAGAGGAACAAACCAATAGGCAAAAACATTGATTCCTATATATCCATGCTGCTTGTCCTGCATATCTCAAAAATTTCTCTGATCAACCTATATATTTTTTCATGAAAAGTCTAAGTTTATATAGGAACCTCATGTTACATTATTACTAGTATTGGAACCTCATGTTACATTAATACTGGTATTGATATACAACTTGCTATAAATAGAAGGAGGTGTTGGTATTTTGTTTTATGAGTTTGATAAATCATATTTTAAGGGAATTTGTGAGACGTGCATCTAACTTATGAGTGTTTTTATTGTGTATTACTAATTATCACAATGATAAAAGTTCTTGAAGCCCTGGATAGGGAAGAGTTTTAGAATTACCTGGTACATTTTCTTGTACAATCTAGCAGCTGATGCATGAGCTAACAAGGTATAATGAGCTGCCATGTATGGCTCTGTTGAGGAATTACCCCTAGAACAATTGACACCAAATGGAGTTGAACATCGTTGTGGTGGAAGAAATCCAATGTCATAACCCCCAAGTATAAAAACATTAGGCTCATTCATAGTAGTCCAATACAAAACTCTATCCCCGAAATTTTTGAAGCACGCATCTGCATATGCAGTGAAGTCTTTTCTGCATCCACAAAAGTGTTTCACCACTATCATCATGGATTCCCCATTTCTGCATGTCCCATTTAAAACTCACCAATAAAAGTTAGGAACTTACACAATTTTTTGATTTACCCATCCTCCATACTCATCATCAAGTGCCTGCGGGAGATCACTGTGGTGTAAAGTAACATGTGGTTCGATTCCTGGTTTAAACAAACAAATTAATTTATTATCAACATTAGGATTTGTTGATCTCTATAGCTACTCAATTATTGATAATATAAGCAAGGAAACTGTGGTTCATAATTTAGATAGATTGTTACCATGGCTGATCAGTTCATCAATAAGATTGTTGTAATATTGTACACCCTTTGGATTGACAGGTCCTCTTCCATCTGAGAGAAAAAAACCGAATATTGATTAAGTGCGTCAAAAGCTAAGAACAATAAATCATTACTTCTTTTGTTTAATTTGAGTTACAATTCGTTGATCATGCATACTTGGGATAAGTCTGGACCATGAGATGGAAAATCTATATGCCTCCAAACCAATATCCACCATTAGTTGGACATCTTCCTGAAATGGTTTAAATGAACTTGATCACGCATAAACCATACTCTAACTATAATCCATGATATAATGATGCGTAGTATAAAACAACAGCAACATATTTCTAATTAGTATGATATTGATTTCTGCAATACAAAAGAACTACTAGTCCCAAATCGTCTAAACAAAAATTGAACTGGATCTTGCAGAGTATAGACCTTGTATTTGTGATACTGATCACACGCTACATCTCCAGTAGCTCCATCATATTTACCTGAAATTTTGGGAGTAAAGCAGTGAATTAATAAAGATCTTGATACATGTAAGTGATTGTGCAAGCTCAAACAATGAACAATGTCTAATTCAATTATGGTTTAGTTGGTTTTAAGTGATAATGATTAATTGTTTAACCCTCAACGAGTTAACATAAACATGCATTGTTTTTGTTGGTGTATAACCCTTCAGCTGAGACTTGGAGGCAAAGAAAGAATTCAAACCTTTAGTTTAATATTTGTTTCATGTTTAAACTAGAGTCGTTGGATCATAGTCCATATGGCTATCCTTGCTTGTATCTAGCTTAAGTGATAGAATATAACAAGTGACATCATCTCATAGGGTGATAGCAATTAAGGGCTGAGATTTAGTTTGTTTTTTTATGAGTGAAGGATCTCCTTTCGTCTTCCATGTATAACGGTAACAACCTCACATGTTTGTTGTGAGGAATATTGCAATCAATTCCATCATCCTTATTTGAAATTCTCTCTGCCATTTTCTGATTTTCTCAGACCTTCATCAAGCTTTCATAGAAGCTTATCAGATATTTCCATACTTCAGCATGGCCTCAGAGCCAGGTAGCATCGTCTAAACTGGGCATGAAATCTGTGAAAATTACCTGTATGTGATTGAGCTGCATTTTAAGCTCAAATCAAATCTGGAAACTTTGCAATCTCTTGAATCCAAAGTCTAACATGGTTGGATCAAGTACCGCTGAGCTTATTGCTCCAGTTTTCAGTGGAGAAAACTACGAGTTTTGGAGGATTTGTATGACGACTATATTGAAATTGTATGGTCTATGGGAGTTGGTGGAAAATGGGTTTAAATCTCTAGATCTGAAGGATACTAAGGCTCTGCTCGATGAAACGAAGAAGGAAACAATAGAGTTGGTGTCATTCGGTGAGACCTTGACGAAAGATGCTCATGCGCTTGGAATGATCCAAGGAAGAGTCTCGGATCAAATCTTCCCCAAAATTGTGAATGAAGAAACATCCAAATGAGCTTGGGATGTCTTGAAGAGTGAATTCAAAGGAGACAAACAAGTAAGAAATGTAAAATTGCAAGGGTTACATAGAGATTTTAAGTATACTCGTATGAAGGAAAATGAATCTCTATCTGTGCATCTTGCTAGATTAATTGACATTACTAATCAAATGAGAAGCTATGAAGATGAATTATCTAGGGAGAGAAATGCGCAGAAATTGTTAATTAGTCTTCCTAAGACATATGATGCAATTTAATATGTGATTGAGCATTCTAAGAATCTCGAAACCCTTGAGGTTCAAGAAGTCGTTGCTTCACTCAAGGGATTTGAGCAAAGACTTGATGTACATGCTGAAACCTTTACTAAGAGAGCATTCGCTAGCCTAAATGTTGCAACTAAGGGTCCTAAAAGTGGTGGATTCTCTAGAAATCATACGTTTCAAAAGAATTGGAAACCAAAAGGGAGAAATTGGGATCACATGCCTAACTTTGCTCTTAGACAAAACAATGCTCAGAGAAATTGGGATCATATGCCTAATTTTGCTCCTAGACAAAACAATGCTTAAAGAGTCCCTGATTGCAAATTGTGTGATAGGTTTCACTATGGGGAATGGTGGTATAAAGGTAAACCAAAGTGCACATGTTGGGGTAAACCAGGTCATGCTGTAGAAGATTGTCATGAAAACAAAGCAATACAAAAGGCTAATTATGCAAGGCAAATGGGGGAAACATGATCACTGTTCGATGCCTGCAATGTTGTGACATATGTGATAGTGAATAATTCCCGGTATATTGATAGTGGTTGTAGCAACCACATGACAGGTGATGAGAGATTGCTTGTGAATATATAGAGAAATTTGTCTTCAAAGGTGAAAATGGGCACATGAGAAATTGTCAAAGTTGAAGGAAACGGAACCTTGGTAATTGAAACCAAGTTAAGAAGAAAACATATTCAATAAGTTATGTTGGTACCTACACTTGAAGAAAATATTCTTAATGTAGGTCAAATGATGGAACATGGTTATTACTTGGTGTTTGGAGGAGATGTTGTGAATGTATTTGATGGATGGTCACTGGACAATCTAGTGGTTAGAGTGCAAATGACCAGTAATAGATGCTTTGCATTGACAATGATGCCTGCAAATCAGTTTGTGCAAAGAGCAAGCGTAACATTGCTCTCAGGTATGGCATAAGAGATTGGGCTACTTGAATGAGAGAAGTCTCAGATTACTTGAAGAACAAGAGATGTTGCATGGATTACCCTATTTGGAAATGTCAACTAGTGTATGTGAAGGTTGCATGATGGGAAAACAACATAGGGAATTGATCCACACAGATATCTATGGACCAATGTAGGTTGATTCTCATTCTGGAAATAAATATTTTTTGTTGTTCACATATAACTGCACTAGAATGACATGGGTGTACTTTCTGAGATATAAGTCAGGTGCACTTGAGTGTTTTAAAAAGTTCAAGGCAATGACAGAATTACAATGTGCTTATAAGGTGAAATGTTTCAGAAGTGATAGAGGATGAGAATTCTTTTCTGCAGAATTTGCTAAGTATTGCAGTGCTCTAAGAATCCAGGGACAGTTGACTATGGCCTACACTCCCTAGCAAAATGGAGTGTCAGAGAGGAAGAATAGAACTGTGGTGGAAATGGCAAAGTCAGTGATGCATGAGAAGAATCTTTCATATGTGATTTAGGCAGAAGCAGTGAACACTGCTGTTTACTTGCTTAACATATGTCCTTCCAAAGCTTTGGGAAAAATAACTCTATTTGAGGCATATAGTACCAGAAAACCAGGGACAGCTCACTTGAAGATCTCTGGCTCTCTTAGCTAAGTGCACATCCCTTCTAATCTCTGACAAAAGTTGGAAGAAAACAATCATAAATGTATCTTTGTAGGCAATGGTGCTAGTGAAAAGGGGTACAGATTATTTGATCCGATTTCAAAGAAGGTCATTCTATCAAGAGATGTAAAATTTGCTGAGAATGCTTCTTGGGATTGGAACTGCACTACAAATAATGAAGCAAGATTTTCAGTTCTCATTTATCATCAAAATGCTACTGAGATCTGTGACATTGGTAAGTGTGCTCAATCTGATCAATGCACTACTTCTCAAAGTGAAAGTATGACTGAAAAACCTCAAGTATATGATGATACACCTCAGAAGTGAAAAAGTGTAAATGAAATCATGGCTCAGTGCAATATGTGCATTGTTGAACCTGAAAGTTATGATGATGTAGCCAATGATGACTCATGGAAGACTGCAATGAAAGCTGAATTAGAAATGATAGATAAGAACAATACATGGCAGCTAATTGAAAGACCATTTGATAAGACAATCATTGGTGTCAAATGGGTCTATAAAACCAAACTCAATTTCGATGGTACAGTGCAGAAGAATAAGGCTAGATTAATGGCTAAAGGCTACTCACAAAAGCCTGGAATTGACTACAATGAGACTTTTTCTCCTGTGGAAAAATTGGATACCATAAGAACCTTGATTGCACTTGCTGCACAAAAGGAATGAAGTTTGTACCAACTGGATGTGAAATCAGCCTTTCTCAATGGAGTTCTGAAGGAGGAAGTGTATGTTGAGCAAGTATAGGGTTTTGTGAAAGAAAATGAAGAGACTAAGGTGTATAAACTGAACAAGGCATTGTATGGTTTGAAGTAGGCACCAAAGGCTTGGTATGATGAGTTAGATGCCTACTTCAACAATGCAAGCTTCAAGAAAAGTTCAAGTTAGGTAACCTTGTATGTTAAAACAAGCGAGGACTCAAATTTGGGTTTGTTACATTGTTTCCTTAGAATGGGTGTACTACAAACCGAGAAAAACATTTTCATACATCAAAAGAAGTATGCAGAGAAGTTGATTGAGAAATTTGGGTTAAAAGACTATAAAACTGTTGCTACTCCAGTTGTTGTGACTGAGAAACTAAGCAAGGTTGATGGTAGTGAAGTTGGAAACGTGGGTGAATACAGAAAACTAGTGGGGAGCCAACTGACAACAACCAGACCTGATATAATGTTTGTAGCAAGCTTGCTGGCAAGATTCATGCATAATCCTACTAAGAAGCATATGGGAACAACAAAGAGGGTGTTGAGATACATTCAAGGAACAATTGATTTTGGAATTGCCTTTGAAAAGGGAAAAACAAATTCTGTCTTTCACCAAAAGACAAGATATGTCAGCAGAAAGTTTCATTTCATCCGAGAAGCAATTCAAGCCAAGGAGATTGAACTGTGTACTGCAAGATAGATGAGCAAACTGCAGACATTCTTACTAAAGCTTTGCCTAAAGGTTTGATTTGCCTATTTAAAAGAGCTTCTGGGAGTCAAGTCAACTAAAGGATTAGAAGGGAGTGTTGGCATATAACCCTTCAGCTGAGACTTGGAGACAAAAAAGGAATTCAAACCTTTAGTTTAATATTTGTTTCATGTTTAAACTAGAGTCGTTGGATCATAGTTCATGTGGCTGTCCTTGCTTGTATCTAGCTTAAGTGATGGAATCATCTCAGAAGGTGATAGCAATTAAGGGCTGAGATTTAGTTTGTTTTTTATAAGTGAAGGATCTCCCTTCCTATTCCATGTATAACGGTAACAACCTCATATGTTTGTTGTGAGGAATATTGCAATCAATTCCATCATCCTTCTCTGAAATTCTCTCTGCCATTTTCTAATTTTCTCAAACCTTCATCAAGTTTTAATAGAAGCTTATCAAATATTCTCATACTCTTTAACACTTTTTACTTAGTTCACAATGATAAGAAATGTCACCTGGTTTCCAAATTACTAAGAAAATCACATTCGATCAGTAAATCAAGCTTGTCAATAGTTTTCAATAGTCAAATTCCAAATGCAATTAACATTTTACTTGCAAGTGTTGGGTTTGTGTTCCCCCTAATTTCGTTGATTATTCTGCCCCTATTTTCAACACTCATTTTACTTAGATTAGCACTAAATGCTTCGCCTCATATGACAAATTTATTGACTCGTTTAGAAGAAATTTACACATTAGTTTCTCAAAAAAAATAATTACACATTAGTGATTTTGGTATTTTAAAAGTTGGTAGAAGCCCTTGGTGATTTTCTTATTTTCAAATTAAAGAAAATATTTTTTTTTTTTTTTTTGCCAAATGATATGGAAGTGAGTTTGGTAAAACCTTAATCACTCTCAAATAGACTGTAACCTCTAGTTATATAACAATTTTCAACTAACCTAAACTAATCATGTGAAAAGATGTCTGTACTCTAACTACGGTCTGTCCCGTAGTACAATTGTTTAAAGGGAGTCTTAATGAAACATTTCTGGTACTGTTTACTTTTAACGTTAAGGATATTTTTAGCCTAGAAAGTCACTCCTGGTACATTCACTTACACCTTTATTTTGTCATTTTGATTAAAACTTAAAGTTTTCAAACCCTTTTTCATTAGTTTTTCTTTGTTTAAATCTAAAACTGTTCACCTAGTCAATACAACATCCTAAAGTTGCAATACTCTAACCTAATCAACTCTATTTGGATGCACTACATTCACACTTGCTAACTAACTCTCTAGTAGGTGGATCGTATAGTTTACTGTGAGATCCACCTATGCTAATTTTATGTGTTTAAATATCATTATTCTAATCTAGTTAACCACACATAGCCTCAATAAGCAAAGGAAGAGGATTATCTTCTCCTCTTCCCTTCCCTTCTACTTGAATAGTTACGGTTAAACCACGTTAACATCTTATATTGATTTCTTTATAAAGACAATAAGACAAAAAAAAAACAAAGTGTGAGAGGAGGGAAGAAAAGAGGATGAGAATAGGAAAGGAAATAATCCTACTCCATAAGGAAAATCAGGTCTTCACCTTTCACAAGTTATAAATTAGAAATGAAAACAGTAAATAAGTAAAAATAGTAAATAATGAAAACAGTAAATAATTAACCACTCTAGACTTATGAACCGTTAGTTCTTGATTTTGTGTTTTTCGACAAAGATTTAATAATTAAAAATTTTGAAGTATCCCACCATACTCCGGAACAAGATAAAAAATCCATAATATTATATGGAAAGTGTGATATAAAAATAGTGGAAGCTAACCAGCATGAGTATATGTGTCCAAGATGCTTGCGGTCCTTCCGTCTTGGTCTGCAGCACCTTCCACCTATTCATGTAGAATTAGTTTCGAACCATCACTTTTTTATTTTTTATTCCAATTGATGCGTAGCACTACTAGTAATATATACAAAAGCATATATAGAGGCTTATATTATTGGCCAATATATCTAACTAATTATATCTTATTAACCCATACATACATACAACTTGTATGTATGTATGTATGGACATATATGAATACATGCATGCATAAGAAGAAGAACCTGATAAGCAGAGGAGGAAGCACCAAACACGAAGCCTGGAGGGAAGTCATCTCTGCTATATTTATCAGCGCATAAAGAAAGCCTTATGAGAAGAAAACACAGAAAAAATGAAACTCTCAGCATGAGTAATAACACAAGCCCGCAGCAAGAACTCAGAAGGGAAGGAGTTTCAAAAGGCAAAAGTTACAAAGAGATTTGAGTGGACGCCCTTTAATTTGTTATCCGCACTTTAGAGCAAATCGTAGACTCCAGATCTTTCTTTATTATCTTTTCTATTGTGTGGTTATTGAGTAGACTCCTAGTCTTGTATGAGTGGTTCGGAATACACAGACAGATTGGGATAATACTTGGGTGATGACCGGTCGGGACGCAGCATACTGACTTTTTGAGGTGGACCAATAATATTGAACCAGCTGGTACTTTAAGCAATTTTTTATTATTAACCAAACGCTCCAAATTTCCTCTTCTTCACTATCCAGACACTCATCTTCTCTCTCCCAAGAAGATAAGCAGACACCCCATCCATAATTGTCAACCGACCACCGTGGCCCCGTCGGATCATCCATCGTCCGCGAGCTCCAAGCCCAGGGCTGCACCAAACTCGTCCTCCGTACTCAGGTCGAGCGCGACCTCAATCGCCAAGCCGCTTCACCACCTCGCCGCTGCAAAATTCTGAGATATGGGTTCGAGTTTAAAGTCGCCGCCGTAGATTTCATCGCTGTAATCTCACTGCGATCGCAAAGCGATGTGGAGTCGACGCTTGGATGAGGGATAAAAAAATGATATCAACGAATGGAAGCTTGGAGGAGGGTGGCTGGGGCTGAAGAAGAAGCCAATCTAGATAGCATGGGAGATGGAGGGAGAAGGTTGTCTTGTTCTCACGGATTCAGAGGGAGGTGGAGGAAGAAGGTTTCTGTTTGTTCATGGGTTTAAAGAAAAAATTGGATGTTTGGTTATAATGATATCAAAGTTTTAAATTATTGGACCAGTAATGTTATTCTCACTATAATTTTATGCCATATTTTTTTATCATCTTAGGTGTCAGATGAGTTAGACAACATTTTAAAATTAAATACTAATTAATTTAGATGATGTAGATATTCACATCAGATATCATCTAAGATGGTATATAATTATGGTATAAAAACATGATAAGAAAATCATTATTGTTATTGGACCATGCAGGAAGTGAGTAGAATTGGGTACTGACGGATCAGTACCCAAGTATTGTCCGACAGATTGCGAGGTTGAGAGAACTTCACCATTCGCGAATGAGGAGGTCGGTGGAAAAGTTCCCGTTCCAGAAGAACTGGATTTCGCTGTTGAAAATTCAGAAGCACGTCTTGTTTACATCTAATTCTGGTTGAATATATGTTCAAGTTTTGATTTTTTAATTAAAATTTAGACACGTGTCTCACTGGAATTGGATGTAAGCAGGATTTTCTGTTGAATCCATTCCAGATTAGACTTGGATTTGAGCTTGAGATTAGGACCATAATTATAAATATTAATTTATTTATCAATAGAAAAATTAAAAAATAATACTTACATTCTTATTTGGGATGAGCCCAATGCCCCATTTTCAAAAGAGTCCGTTTTTGCTCCCTAACCTAAAGCGATGTTTGTTTCTCTCTAAAATCGTGCCACATTTTTTTTTTTTCTCATGATTAATCAATGCATTTAATTAAATCTTTATGGAAAAAAACTGCAGGGGTGGCGTGGAGGCCTTTTGAGTAGTGCAGGAAAAGAATTGCTAGTTAAGACCGTGGCTCAGGCATTACCAATGTATATATACTATGCAGTGTTTTCTTCTTCCAAAATCTTTTTGTGAGGAATATGATGATAGCCAAGTTTTGGTGGAGAGGAGAACCCGGGAAGCGCAAAATTTATTGGGTGAACTGGCGAACCTTATGTAAATCAAAAGAGGAAGGGGTTTTGGGTTTCAGAGATCTCTATGCTTTTAACATCGCTCTTCTTGCGAAACAGTCGTGGAGATTTATCATGCAGCCTCATTCGTTATCTTTCACTCTTTTCAAAGCACGGTACTTTCCTTCCACAGATTTCTTGAACGCATCGGTGAAGATAAACACATCGTTTGTATGGCGTAGTATTGCAACCATTCATCCAGTGATCTCTAAAGGTCTAAGTTGGCAAGTGGGAGATGGTTCGTGTATAAAAGTTTGGGGCGATAATTGGTTGCCGAGAGAGAATTCTTTCAAAGTTTTCACTCCCCCTCAATTTCCGCAACTCCTTGAGGCTACGGTGGAGAGTTTGTTTTTGGATGGGACACGAATTTGGGACAAAAACCTGCTTCATCGATTGTTTAGCTTAGAAGAAGTGGAAGTTATTCAGAGCATCCCTTTCAGTATTCGACGTATATCTGATAGACAAGTTTGGCATTACGAACGGAATGTTTTTTTCTCAGTGAAGGTGCTTATTACTTGGCAAAGAGAGAGGTGGATGCTAGAACGTCGGGTTCGAATTCTCAAGATTCGTTAATCTGGAAGGGACTATGTAATGTCTGTGTTCCTGTAAGGTAAAAATATGTGTTTGGCGGGGGTGCTTGGATTCTCTACCTACTGGGACAAAACTTGCTAGAAAACGTATTGCCAAGTAAACAAAGTGTTTGTTTTGCTCCGGGCAGCCAAAAACTGTCGAGTATGTGTTAAGAGATTGCTCAATGGCAGTATGGTTAGCGAGTTTGGGCATTAGAGGCCGAGATAATTCATGAGTATGTTTCAGAGAGTAACTAAGCTTGCTCAATGCTCATGATTCCTCCAAGTTGACTTTTGGCTTGGTGTTGACAGCTATATGGAGCATTTGGAGAGCTCGTAATGATCTTTTGCGGAAAGGTACAATCACTCATCCGCATGATGTGGCCTTGAGAGCCGAGGAATGGATGCTTGCTTTTAGGCACCATCACTCCCCTAGCAAAATGGTATCGATGCAAACCATACAAAAGTGGTCTCCTCCTGACACATGTTTCTTAAAGTGTAACTTCGATGGTGCTTGGGATGAGAGATCGAGGGAAGGTGGCGTTGGGGTGATTATTCGCAATTGTAGAGGCGAATTTTTGGCGGGTCTTGCAGCTGTTGAGGAAGACTTCGGTTCGGCGCTGCAAGCAGAGCTCTTGGCAACTTGCTCAGTAAATAGTTTCATGCAGCTCGGGGATCTTTTCGAAGGGGATTCCAGCTTGACCCTTGCGGCAATGAATGGGGAGGGTGATGATCACTCCATTTTGGGTCCTATCGTCAATGATAATCGTGTTCTCCTGCGAAGTTTTGTTCATGCAATGACAAACTTCATTCGACGTGAGGGGAACGGTGCTGCCCATCGTTTGGCTCGGGCGGGTTTGCGAGGAACAGGGGAGTCGATCTAGGCTGAGACCCCACCAGATATGCTTGCTGACATCTTGATTGAGGAGAGTTCTCATCGCAACCTTAGTTCACGTTGATGTAACTTTAATGCTTTACGAGGATAGCTAACTATAGTTAAGTTGTTTTGTGTGTGACACTCTTTTTCCTTTGACCAGGTTGAAATCATCGGTAAAGTTTTCTATTAAGGCCCTTTTTGGCAAACTATCCTTTCATAATATGTGGGTGAGGACAAAAAAGCAAATTTTTTTTTGTCCGGATTACTTTAAGGCACATGATTTTTCTTTCTAATATTTTCTTTCAATTATGCATGAAAGAGTATAATAGTATTTTCCTTAATTTTTTGTCAAAAAATAGTGTTCTATTAAGATGTAGTGTAGTATTGATTTGTCCATAAAAGCCATATTTATGTGTATAAATTAAACAAAAATGTTCTCGTAGTCACTAGGTGAGCTAAGAATGCATGGTCACCTATCATTGCATTTGATATTAAGGGTAAAGAATCAATGGATATATTAATGTTTGAATCTTAACTCTTGATATCAAATCTAACAATAAAACGAATAAGTGACCTTGAATACTTATTTAACATGTGACCAAAAAAAATATATATATTCATAAATAAAATGCTTGAATTCACGATCACATTTCCAACAAAAAAGGAAAAAAAAAAAGTGATTGTGACATAATAACTTTAATAATTTAAAAGGGAATGCAAACATTGCATCGGAATGTAAGGTGTATAATGAAATCTACTGAATGTAGTAACCGTTGGAAATGGATGTAAGAAATTCATCAAAGCTGATGACAATTTTTCTCTTCAGAAAATGAGAGTACCAATGAGCAGAGAGTTTAGGTTGTCTTTTTAAATCAGGGTCTTCCAAATCCACGTAGTATAGGCCGTAGCTTGATTTATAGCCGTCTAACAACTCAATGGAATCCAAGAAGGACCATACAAAATAACCTTTTGCGTTTGATCCATTCCTTCCAAAATCATATAGGATGAATTAGTAATTTAGAAGTATTATAATTACTAGTACTTCCACTGTGATATCTTGTAGGCTCCCATATTTACATATATATACACGGGCTTTTGACTATGATTCACTTTTGATATTTGGTTATTGAAATGATCTGTTTTTAGTCTGTCGCCATTATATTATCGTTGTATCCTCAATAGATGATCGATATGTTAGAGACATTCAATTTCAATCATTACAGCAACCAAAATGTCAAAAGCGAATCATTTTAGCTAATTGCCCTAAACACTTTTCTTACACACTTTCATTTGGACTTGTGCAGTTAGCTTTGCAATCGAGAGATCAAAATAAATTGTATATATATACCTTACAGCTGCAAGCAAAGATTGGATGTATCCGTCCAAATATTTCACCCTCGGCCAGTCCTCCAATGAGGAATTACGTCGAGTCGATTGACCTAATATATAGGGCCAGTTTTTTATTTTCAGATGATGATACAGATAAAAAGGAAAATGATAAAGCAGCTAATGCCAACTATTGCATGCAGAGGGCAAAGTTAAACCAGAGAGAGAGAGAGAGACCATTTTCATGGATATATAAAGGAGGATTTCCAAAATTTTGCTTGACATATTCCAACAGTCCTTGAAGGCCCCAGGGAGTTATTGGAAACTGATTCAAACAAGCGATCAATAGTGCTCTAAAATTAAACCCATAAGTAGTACTGAACCTACACCACTTTATATTTTGTGTTCAAGCTTTTACCTCAAATGGTGACGTATCATTTTGCAGTGCTGCGAATGCAATTCAAAGTTTTTTGTAAGCTCCAAGAATTATAGGTATATCTAGATATGATCGACGAAATGTTGACATTTTATTGACACATCGGTCATAACAAGGGCAGACAATTGAGAGAATTTCACTACATACATACATATAAGAAAAAACTTACCCAACATCAGTACTGCTGAGTCTGCCGTATAGTCTCTGATTTCCATCTTTAAAATGCTGGTGTAGTCCTTGATGTGGAATGTGGAATAATGATTCACTCCAATGAAGTCAAATGAACCCATGACACTTCGGGACTCGAGACTAGTAAAAACAGGAAGTCTAGAGCCTGCAATCTTTTTCATTACATCAGGGTAATCTCCAAACACCAAGGGATTCAAAAACCTAAAAAACGAAATAGACTCATGGGAATTACAGGTACTTAAAATGGCATCAAGTTTCGGACAAGTAAGAAATATATATGGATGAAGAGGGATGAGTGCCCAACATCTGACTTACCAACCAAAATAGAAGTCCATGGCTCTTTGGGTAGCAAGTTCATCTTCACTAGTTTTTGTTAAAGGAACAAACCAAAAGCCATAAATGTTGATTCCTATATATCCATGCTGCCTGTCCTGTATATGCCGAAAAGTTATCACACTGATTGGCCTATATTTTTTTTTTCATTAAAAGTCTAATTTTATTAAGAAACTTATGTGTTACATATATTGTTACTAGTAGTCTTGATTCTTATTTTTGTAGTTTTTAAGTTTTATTTTCTTTGGGCTTATTGTTTGTTCATGTTGGCTAGCACCACAAAGAATTAGTACAAAGGGAGTGGAAACAAATATTGCAGAGTTAGTACAAAAGAAATAGTAGTTTTCTTTCTTCTTAATTTGTGAGAGTCAAACTTATCAAGAGTACTATGTTTCTAAGGACGGATCGAAGACTTAATAAGTTGATTGTATATTATTAAATTATCACAAAGATAAGAATTTTTGAAGTCCGACAGTGACAAGTTTGACAATTACCTTGTATACTTTCTTGTACAATCTAGCAGCTGATGCATGAGATAACAAGATATTATGAGTTGCCATGTACGGTTCTGTTGAGGAGTTACCCCTAGAACAGTTGACACCAAATGGAGCTGAACATCGTTGTGGTGGAAGAAATCCAAGATCGTACCCCACAAGTACAAAAGCATTAGGCTCATTCATAGTAGTCCAATGCAAAACTCTATCCCCAAAATTTTTGAAGCACACATCTGCATATGCGGTGAAGTCTTTTCTGCATCCACAAAATTGTTCCATATGATCATCTCAAATCCCATTTCTGCATCTCCCATTTAAAACTCACCAATAAAAGTTAGGAACTTACACAATTTTCCGACTAACCCATCCTCCATACTCATCTTCAAGTGCCTGTGGGAGATCACTATGGTGTAAAGTAACATGTGGTTCGATTCCTGGTTTAAACAAACAACTTAATTTATTATCAACACTAGGAAATGTAGATCTCTATAGCTACTCAATTACTGATAGTATAAGCAAGGAAACTGTGGTATGATAGATTGTTACCATGGCTGATTAGTTCATCAATAAGATTGTTGTAATATTGGACACCCTTTGGATTAATAGGTCCTCTTCCATCTAAGAGAAACAAGCCGAATATTGATCAAGTGCATGAAAAACTAAGAACAAGACATCTTTGCTTGTTTTGTTTAATCTGAGTTACAATTCGATGATCATACATACTTGGGATAAGTCTTGACCATGAGATGGAAAATCTATATGCCTCCAAACCAGTATCCACCATTAGTTGGACATCTTCCTGAAATGATATGAATAAACTTGGTCAAGAATAAACCGTATTTGAACTATAATCCATGATATATATGATGCATGCGTATCTAATAACATCAGCATATTCCTAATTGGTATGATATTGATTTCTACAACACAAAAAACTACTAGTTCTGAATGGTCTAAACAAAAATTGAACTAGATTGTGCCGAGTATAGACCTTATATTTGTGATACTGATCACACGCTACATCTCCCGTAGCTCCATCAAAATGACCTGAAGATTTGGGACTAAAGCAGTGAGTTAATAAAGCTCTCGATACATGTAAGTTAACGTGCAAATTCAAACAGTAAACGGTATCTAATTCAATTATTAATTAGTTGGTTCTAATTGACAATGATCAATTGTTTAACCCTCAATGAGTCGACATAAACATGCGTTCTTTTTACTTAGTTCACAATGATAAGAAATGTCACCTGGTTTCCAAATTACTAAGAAAATTATATCTGATCAGTAAATCAAGCTTGTCAATGGTTTTCAATAGTCAAATTCCAATTGTGATTAACATTTTACTTGTAAGTGTCGAATTTTTGTTCTCCTCCCTAATTTCCTTGATTGTTCTTCCCCTATTTTCAACTTCAATTTTACTTATATTAGCACTCAAATGCTTTCCTCCTATAAAAAATTTGTTGACTCGAACATAGGCGCTCTATGGAAGTTTTGTTGTTTTTGTTTTTGTTAAACGATAGATTTGTTAGATTAGGGAGCTAACAGGGTTTGAACCACGCCATGGGGCAAAGGCAACACTCATCTCCACCACCGTGGTAGAGGGCCATTTTTCGCTCAATGGAAGTTAACTAAGGCTCACTTGTTAGTGTTTCTGTTGGAGTTTGATTGTTGTTTTTGAAATCTAAGAAATGAATGAAAATGAAGGATTTGGATTCTTCTGAGTTCTTCCTAGAGAGAATGAGTGCTCAGAGAGGAAAGGAAAACAAATTTTTCATTCTATGCTTCAAACAAAGTGTGTGAGCAATATGACCGTTCATAGAGTGAGGAAAGCATCTCTCTCGCATTAGACATAGAGTGAGGAAAGCATCTCTCTCGCTTTTATATCAACAAATTCTAACCATTCAAAACAATCTAGCCCATGAGGTGTTACACTTGTAATGAGTTATGACTCACAAATACATCAATTAAGTGATGCACATGGACTATGACCCATTGGCTCACAATACATCAACTAACAAAATAAAACTTATTTCTTCTATTCTAAGAAATCTGTAATGCGGTTTAAACATCAATGCCCCTTCTAAACTCTTTGTAGATTTCACTCTAAGCACTTCCCTTAAGTAAACAAATCAATGCTTTGGCAATACTTTAGTAAGGATATCAACCATCTGCTCTTCAGTTTTACGGTACTCTAATTCAACATATTATTGTTGTATAGCCTCTCGATTGAAGTGGAACTTCTTGTCAATGTGCCTAGTGTTCTGATGGAAGATATAGTTCTTGGTAATAGCAATAAGAGATGTGGAGTATTCAATGAGGAATCAACAAATGTTACATCCCTTGATAAAATGACCTTTTTGGTAATTAGATTATACAATTTATAGCCCTGCTCACATGTGATGTAGCCAACAAATATACATTTGTATGGAAGACATAATTCTAGGTAATAGCAATTAGAGATGTGGAGTATTCAATGAGGAATCAACAAATGCTACATCTCTTGATAAAATGACCTCCTTGGTAATTGGATTGTGCAATCTATAGCCCTGCTCACTTATGCTATAGCCAACAAATATACATTTGTGATTGTTTCTCTCTAGTTTATGTCTCATGCTCAAAGGAATGTGCATATAACGCAGAGAACCAAAAATCTTGAGATTTGCAATTCCTAGTTTCCTGCCATTATAAGCTTCAAATGGAGTCATCATGTCTAGTGCCTTTGTGGGACACTTTTTGAGAAGATAAACAACAATGTTCACTTTATCTGCCCAAAATTGATATGGAAGATCTTTCCCGTGCATCATTGATTTGACCATTTCCACCACAGTTCTATTTTTCATTTCAACCACTCCATTTTGTTGTGGAGTGTACGCCATTATCAACTGTTTTTGTATTCCTGACTCATTGTAGAATTTCACTTGTATAGACATCAACTCTCCATCTCTACCACTTCTTAGGCATTTTAGTTTGTGACTACACTGCAATTCTGTCATTGCCTTAAATTTCTGGAAGCATTCAGAGGCACGTGACTTGTATCTCAAAAAATACACCCAAATCATTCTTGTATAGTCATATATGAATGGCAGAAAATAGTTGTTTCCAGAATTTAATTCAACCTACACCCAAAATTTGATTCAACATGTATTGGCTCATAGATGTCAGTGTGAACTAATTCTAGAGGAAACTTAGCTCTCCAAGTGAACTCAGTTGGGGAAGCATTTCTATGTTGCTTCCCACTCATACAACCTTCACATACACCATTAGATTCCTCCAAGTGTGGCAACCCATGCACCATTTATTGTTCTTAAAGCAGCCTGAGACTACTATCATTCAGGTGCATCAATCTCTTGAGCCAAGTTTGAGAACAATGAGTTATACTAACTCCCAATGTGACTTGATCTGTTGGCATCATTATCAATGTGAAACATCTATTCCTAGTCATTTTCACCTTGACTACTAAATTTTCCAATGAGAAACTATCAAACACATTGACAACACCTCATCCAAATAGCAAATATCTATGCTCCATCATTTGATCAAGACTAAGAAGGTTTTCTTCTAAACTAGGAACCAATATTACTTCCTGCCAAGCTTTTTTTCAATCACTGGTGTACCTTTTCCAGCAACATTTACAATCTCTCTAATTCCCATTTTCACCTTGGAAGAGACGTTTCTTTGCAAATTAATCAGAAGCCTTTCATTTGTCATATGATTGCTACATCCACTGTAGATGTACCAAGAGTTGTTCACCTTCACCTCAGCCATAGCATTACCAATGTAGAATCCTATCTATTGAAGTTGATTGGCATAATTCACCTTCTACATTCCTTTGTTTCCATTTCAATATCTTGGGATATGACCAAACTTCCCACAAATTGTGCACTTGGGTTTACCTTCAAACCAACATTTTCAATAGCACAGTTTATCACAATGTTTGCAGGGAGTTTTGCTTGTGTCCTCCACATTTTGCTTTGAACCAAAGTTTGGCTTGTTATCCCACTTCTTTCCCTCTCTTTTCCAATCCTTCTTAAACTTCTGATGTCCAGTGAATCCATGACGTTTGGATTGCTTGGAAGCAATATTTAAACTAGTTAATGCTCTCTCAATTTTGTTTTCAGCATGCCTATCCAAAGATTGCTCAAATATTTTTAAAAATGCTATAACTTATTGAACCTCAAGGGTATCAAAATCCTTTGAGTGTTCAATTATTGAGCAAATGGAATCATAACTCCTAGGCAAGCTAATTAACAATTTATGCACAATTCATTGCCTGGACAATTCCTCTCCATAACTTTTCTTTTGATTTAATAGATCAAACAATCTAGTAAGGTAAACAGACAAGGATTCATCATCAAGCATTCGAGTATATTCAAAATCTTGAGGTTTTACATTCCTTACTTGTTTATCTACTTTGAATTCTTGTTGCAGGATACCCCAAGCTCCCTTCGAGGTTTCTTAAAATCTTGGGGTATAGTTGATTTGAAATAGCTCCTTAGATCAAACCAAGAGCTCTTGCATCTCTCATCAAGATCTCGTTCCTTGAAGCTTTCTTTGCAACAATGGGATCGATTTTCTTTGCTTCTTCAGTGAGTTTCTCATTCTCCTTCTTTGAATCTGGTACTTCAAATCCTTTTTCAATGAAAGCCAAGAGTCCATTGGACTTAAGTATAATCCTCATATGGATTCTCCGGAACTCATAGTTTTCACCACTGAAAATTGGCACGCGAAAGCTCAGCTCTACTCGATCCAACCATATTAGACTTGAAATCAAGAAAGCCAGAATTTTTTGAAGCTCAAATAAGCTCTAGTGAAACTCAATTCGATTCGAGTCTCACCGCAATGAGAAGGCACAAATTCATGCTAAGTTTAGACGATTGAACATGGCTCTGAGACCATGTTAGAGTTTGATTTTTGTTTTTGAAATCTGAGAAATGAAGGAAAATGAAGGATTATGAAAGATTTAGATTCTTGGAAGTTCTTCAACGAGAGAATGGGACCTCAGATAGGAAGGGAAAACCAATTTTTCATTCTAAGCTTCACACAAAGTGTGTATATGATCGTTAGACATAAGAGTGAGGAGAGCATCTCTCTCTCTTACATCAATGAACCATTCCAAACAATCTACCCTATGAGGTGATTACACTTGTCATGAGTTATGACTCACCAATACATCAATTAAGTGAAGCATTGCACATGGACTATAATCCAATGACTCACAATACATAACTAATAATAAATAAAAAATTCCAAAAATTATTTCTGCCATTCTAAAATATCTGCAATGTTGTTTAAACGCCAACAGTTTCTTCAGAAAAAGATTTACATATTAGTTTCTCAAATAAATTTGCACATTGGTGACTTTGGTATTTTAAAGGTTGCAGTAGAGGCCCTTAGTGATATTCTTATTTCCAAATGTATTTCTCTATCAATGGTTTTTATATAACTCAAAAGAACACTTTTTAAAACCTTTTTTTTTGGTAACAACACTTTTTTAAACTTTTACCAAATGCTCTAGAGGTGATTTTGGTATATATATAATCTTAGTGCGATCTGTAAGTAGTACAATTGTTTAAATCTAAAATTGTTCACCTAGCATCATAAAGTTGCAATACTCAAACCTAACCAATTCTATTTGGATACACTAAATTGGCACACTTACTAACTAACTCTCTAATAGGAGGATCTTATAGTTGTATGTGAGAGCTACCTGTATTAACTTTATGCGTTTAAATAGCATTATTCTAATATAATTATCAGCACGTAGCCTCAATATGCTAAACCAAGTGTTCACCTTTCACAAGTTGTAAACAAGAAATGAAGACCGTAAATAATTAACAAAAAATTTGATCTTGTTTCAGAGTAAGAGATACTCTAAAATTTTAAACCGTTAAATCTTAGTTTTATATTTTTTAATAAATATTTAATGATTGAAAAACCCAAATATTCCACCATATTCCAAATCACGATAAATAAATCCCTAATATTATATGGAAAGGGTAATGCTAAAGAAACTAAATTTTAGAAACTAAAGAACATAGAATTTGATTATTGGTTTATTACTTAAGCATTAATAAACGTGCTCATTTCTATTGGTGAGACATCATTTAGTTTGCAAATTGTCTCCCTTGCATTACCCTATAATGAAAAGGTGATATAAAAGTAGTAGAAGCTAACCGGCCTGGGCATATGTGTCCAAGATGCTTGGGGTCCTTCCGTCTTGGTCTGCAGCACCTTCCACCTATTCATGTAGAATTAGTTTTGAACCAACCCCATTCCATCAGTTTCTTCTCTTCTTTTTATTTTTTTTATTTTTTTTATTTTTTTTATTTTTATTTTTTTCAATTGAAGCGTAGGACTAGTAATACATACAAAACCATATATATAGGGGCTTATATTATTGTAAGATACTAAGATATATCTAATTAAAATTATTATTATCCCATACATTTTTATGCATGTATGTATGCACATATATGAATCCATGTATACATAAGAAGAACCTGATAAGCAGAGGAGGAAGCACCAAACACGAAGCCTGGAGGGAAGTCATCTCTGCTATATTTATCAGCGCATAAAGAAAGCTTTATGAGAAGAAAACACAGAAAAAATGAAACTCTCAACATGAGTAATAACATAAGTCCGCCGCAAGAACTCAGGAGGGAAGGAGTTTCAAAGGGCAAAAGTTACAAAGAGATTTGAGCGGACACCCTTTAATTTGTTATCCGCACTTTAGAGCGACTGGTAGACTCCAAATCCTCCTCTGTTGTCTTTTCTTTTGTATGGTTGTTGAGTTGATTCCAAGTCTTGTATGATTGGTTCGAAATAGCCAACAAGAAGAAACACAGACAGATGGCGACGCTGAAATGAACTTCACCATTGACGAATGAGGAGGTCCGTGGAAAAGTTGCCGTTCCACATTAGACTTGGATTTGAGCTTGGGATTAATGAGGACCATAATTATAGATATTAGTTTATTTATCAATAGAAAAACTAAAAGATAATAATTGCATTCTCTATGGAAAAGTTAGAAAAATAACCAAATTTTTTGGACTTTATAGAATTATAACCACTCTTTTTAATTTATTATAATTATAACCAAAAGTTAATATAAAAGTACTAATACATCCTTAATGACTTAATTATTTGCAATCATGCCCTGAAATGGAGTCCAATTAGATTCTTGCAAGTTTGGCGTGAAATATATAATTTGCCTCTGAAAGCTTTTGTTGGAGATATGCCTTGAAAGTCAATCTTTGGAAGAAACCTTTCAGGATAATGTCTATATGTATAGATAACTCTAATACAGTAAAAGGCAAAGCCACTCATTAGGACTATCTCAATATACAATATACGTCCAAAATAGTGAATCCATGGACAAGTGATCTATAGAAGAAGTAATCTAATGATGTTAGACTGCAGAAACCTTCTTCATATAACCATAATGTCCAAAAGGTTCATGGTCATAGGATTGTCAGAGGGACACTGACAATACATAGACCAGTACATACTATGTCCCCTTCAAATGGGAAGGATGGAAAGTCTCAAGTCATTCGTATAGTGACACTAAGACAAGTATGTAGGTGCTCATTAAGGGAATGAGTTCATTGAACACAATCAAACGAGAGTACTTGCATGGAGGTCTACTCACATGTCAAGCTAGTAACTCTACTGGTTGGAATAATGTAAGTAATCCTTTGACCTGAGACATCATAGTTGTCTTGGGGATACTTTGTTGATCATTTGATAATGAGACATGACCACATCTCATCTTGGATGTGTTCTATGCATTGTTGGGGTCAATGATTTATTCTCAGATGCATGTGAATGATCAATAAGGGATCTCTAATCCTCGTTATGAGAGGAAGAATACTCTAAGATATGATTCGGGAATCTTTGGCCGAACTATCGAGCATAATGATGGAAGGTGTTCCTATACGACTCAATTGAATCATATAACTTGGTATAATCACATTAGGGGTTTGACATTAAGTATCCATACCCTAGTAATGTGATTGTGAGTATTGTATTAGAGAATGATCGAATTACATTATAATTCCAACTGAATAGGTTCTCTGACCAAATTCTACATTACTTGGGTAGCCATGATATATGGTTAGATGTCACTCATGGCTTGTGGGTCTAGATTAATTAAGTAGTCATCAAAGAAGAAAAAGGAGAATTAAAAGTAAGTTTTAATTCACTAAGTAATTGGATAAATTCTAATAAATTGGATTGGTACCAATCACCTCACTACCTCGTTAATTAGAACCTAAAACAATTGTACACTGATACACTCTTGTGGTGAGGCAACTAAAGGATGATGGAATTAATTGATTGGATTAATTAAGTGCTATGATTAATTAGAAAGTCTAAAGAAATCATAAAAGCGATGAAAGATCGTTTCGGGCTTAAAGAAAAGTTCGGGTTCATCCGGGCCCATTGGGTCTTTTTATTCAAGCATAGGATGACTTGAAATGATAAAAACCCAAAGTCCAAGCCAACACTAAGTGGCCGGCCAAAGATGAGGAAAGAAGAGAGAAAAATAGTCAATTAGTTGACTTACTTCTTTTTCCTTTATAAAGGGAGTTTAATGAAAAAGTTTCATTAGGGCTTTTGTGTGTTCTTTTCAACAAGAGAAAAATAAGTTTATCTTTCTCCCTCTCTCTATACAGATAAGGCCGGCCACCAAGAAGGGAAATAGCTAATCATCTCTTCTCCCTTTGGTTATTCCAACGTCCATCTCACTACACTAGTGGGTGTGGATCTTTAGAGGTCTTCTCTTTGGAGACTAGAGGAGAATCAAAGGAGTTCCAAATCTATCAAGGTGGAGGAAACAAGGAGGGAGGCTAGACTCAAGGAGTTCCAAGAACTAAGAGCTTGGCGGTGGTCCATCATTGGTCTAAAGTCTAGATCAAGAGGTATAAAAGTCAACCTTCACTTTGTTCTTCAATATTTTGTTTGATGCATCATATATGAACCTATGCTTCTAGAAGGGGATTTGCATGACTATAGCTTTGATAATATGTGATAATATGCTTCCGTTGCTTATATATATAAATTTAGAATTGTATATGCATGCTAGTCACTATAAATCCCACTATTAATCTCAATATTTCCCTTCAGCTTTTGCATAGTGTTGAGGTCCAAAAATGTCATGAGTAAGCCCAATCAATCCTCGAAGCCCAATTGCCATGAGAGTCCCGAGTCAAGCCTAAAAACATGCAAGGGTATGGGATCAAGGAAGGAATATTCACAACCATGCCATGCTACGGTAATTAAGTCGAATATTTTATGTACGTCATGCCCATGTCTATTTGTCACACTAAGATAAGCCCAAGTCACATGCTTGATCAGGGCTTGTCAAGTGAATGTGGTGTGGATGGTTACAAGAGTCTATTGGGCCTATGTGGAGTTAAGATTATGAAGGACTTTGGGCTGCTTGGGGGCCCAAAGATTAAAGCCCATAACCTTTGTAGCCTACATAGGCAAGCATTGAGAGAGAACAGATTTAGCTTACCTCTTTCCCCAGTAAGCTAACCAATCTAATTAGAAAGGATCCAAGTCGTGAAACCCCTAGCAAAGCAAGCATTTAATAAAGAGAGGTTGACTTTCACTTCCCAGCTCACGTAGCATTTCAAGCACGAAAGCCATTACATGCTACCAAAAGTAACGTCGGTGGAGAACTGACCCAGGAAAGTAGCGTCTTGAGAAGGAGGCATGATGTATGTTTCATAGGTTGGCAGTGCCTAGCCATCTTGCACCAAAATAGAGGGTAGCGGAAAAACTAGGGAGAAAGAAGAGAAAGAAATAAGCCATAACTAGAGATTCATTGAGAATGAATCATTCAACTACAAATATAGGTCAAGAACTTTAGAGAAAGGAACATAATCCCCCATCATAACATAGAGAGCCAAAGAAATCTAGAAGACATCACTCTGCAACCTTAGTATTTTTCCATAACCTCCTTCTGAGTATTCTAGCTATTGTAAACTTTGTTACTAACCTATGAAACCCAGGTTATGCCTAGAACACATTGCAACCATGCCAAATATCTTTCTTATGCTAAACTGATAAACTTCTAACTTCCACTCCATGTCTCACTTGAGCAAGCCATTATTTGCTTAATCATGCTATCTTCGAGTCATTGATTCAACCGAGATATTTCCTAAGATATGCTAATTCTTTCGAGATATTCCGGGACTTGGTACGAACTGAACCAAGGAAAACAAGAGGACGTTCTCAAAGCCCAAGTCCACTTCGACCTAAAGGTCCCCTAACACATAGCTTTACCATTCCTCCTATGCCGATCAAATACAAAACATGGCACCTCTCAATTTTGTTAGAAACCATGTCCATGAAGCATCATTTTCTAAGTCACCCACACCAAACCAAACCCCAAATCCGTTAACACCACCCCAAATTTGTCAACACCATTCATCAATTAAAATGAAAGAGAGGAAACAAAGGAACTTGGCAATTAAGATTTGTAAAACTTGATGGGATCTTAGAGAAAGAAGTTCGTCTCCCTGAATCTATCTGTCTTTGAATCAAATTCATACCTAGAAAAGGAAACATTTGAAGGAGGGTGACGAATTTAGGGTTTGGTTTGATTTTACAGGGTTTCGTTTGAGTTTCTTCGAATTTGGGCAATCCTTCTGTTTACAGTGCAATTTAATTCAACCTTGATCGGTTCTTAGAGAAAGAAGCTCGTCTCCCTGAATCTATCTGTCTTTGAATCAAATTTGTCCCCATAAAAGAAAACATTTGAAGGATGGTGACGAATTTAGGGTTTGGTTTGAGTTGCTTTGAATTTGGGAAATTTCTCTGTTTGCAGTGCAATTCAATTTAGGGTTTCAAGTTTGATAAGGGAGCAGTGTTAGATACTAATTCCTTACTAGTACAACCTTAACCTTGCTGCAAGGTAGCTATGGCGGACGTACGGGAGGCGGAAGAGAGATTGTTTTTGTAAAATACTTTTCTATTACTTTTTCAAATCTAACCGTTACAAGAAAGAGAGTTACTACTACCAACATTCCACATGTGTGAGTGCCACATGGCAAAACGGACAAAACACTAACACAAAATCCCCACAATAAAAGGAAAATTACATATTAAACCTAACTCCTTACATTTTGATCCCAAACTCAATTACTTGTGATTGAGGCAATCACAATATTTCCGTACATAATGCATCCCCCTTGAAAATCAACCTTGTCCTCAAGGTTCAAACATCAAATTTTGGAAACCGAGACTTGAAAGCATCAAAGTCTTCCCAAAAAGCTTCTGCAACATCCTTACCACTCTATTGCACCAGAAGCTACACATTAATCGCATTTCCTTTCTTATACATTCTCCTAGCAAGTATTGCTAAATGAGCTTCATTAGGCAATCCATCATGTGTCACTTGAGGTAGCACCAAGCTTGGGATAATAGAATCTCCCAATTTCTTCTTAAGTCAACTAACATGGAACACAGGATGTGTTTTGGTTCCATCAGGTAGCTTGAGTTTATAAGCTACAGTCCCAATTTTCTCAAGGATTTCATAAGGTCCATATAACCTAGGTTGCAATTTGTGATAATCATAAGCTGCAAAACATTGGAGCTAATAAGGAACCAATTTCAAGTATACCATATCACCCACTTCCAGATATCTCTCAATCATTCTTTTGTCAGCTTGG